CTTCTCCCTCTGGCCCTCCCCCTTCTCATGTGCTCTCTCTCATTCTCTCTCTCTCAAATAAATAAATAAATAAAAAATCTTAAAAAAAAAAAGAAAGGTGTCCCAGCCATCGTTCCAGAGCAACCTCTGATGCAGAACATGTCAGTTGAGCTGAGGCAGCTGTTCTTGCTGAGAACTGGTGACCAGCGGGGTATCCCTGCTTTGGAAGGTGACAGGACTTCCTGCCACTGCTGCCACCTTCTGAGCATGGAAGGCTCCAAGAGTGATGAGAAATGGTAATCTCTAACCTCCCTCTTCTGATGGGGTTTTATCCCCCTTAATCTTTCCCCCTGGATTCTGAACAGCCACGCAGAATCAAAGTGTGCTTGTGTCTGATGTTTCTTACTGTCTCAAGATTCACTCTAGAACAGGGTTTTTCAACAGTGGCACTGTTGACATTTTGAGCCTGATAATTCTTTGTTGTGGGGTGCTGTCTATGCATTGTAGGATGTTTATAACATCCGTGGCCTCTACCCAATAGATGCCAGCAGCACTCCAACCCAAGTTGTGACTACCAAAAATATCTCCAGTCACTGGCAAATGTTCCCTGGGGGGCAAAATCACTCCCTGTAGAAACCACTAGTCTAGAGAGAAATTAAATCTACTCTGGGTTTATTTATGGAACCAGGACTTTTGTGCTTAATCTCACATTCCATTCTTCCCTCCAGTTTTCCCTAGGAGAGTTCTGTCAAGGAATAGTCCTATAACCGAGTGAAGCACACAGGTACTATATCCCTCTATGTCAAGCCTCCCCTACACATGCTATAATCCTCTACCTCCATGGGGTAGAAATTAATCACGTTTTTAAGGGTGGTGAAACTGAAGCTGAGAAAGGTTAATTTTCCAGTTACCCAAGTTAGTAAACAGCCAGAACCAGGATTTTGAGCAAGAGTACTTTCTCCTCAGAGTGACAGGAAGCTAACCTCAATAAGCCTCAGAAGCCCTCTGACCAGTGTTTGGGACGAGTGTATTTGGGCTACATTAAAATCTTATTTTGAGGACAGGAGGACCTGTGGCCATCTTTTTGAAGGTGAATTTTCTTCTTCTTTGTCTCAGATGAAAGCTGTTTCGGGGGAGAGAATTGAAGCCCAAGTGCCTATCCTCTTTGGGGTCTCACCTGAAGTCTTGAGGGTCCCTGAGGGGTAGCAGGGGCCTGGGAACTTGAGAGGTGAGCTGAGTAAGGGCCAAACCCTTAGGACAAAGTGAGCCACACAAGGGGCGCCAACACCAGTTAAGACTCAAAACAGAGACCAGACACTCGTGACTACTCATGGATGTGTATTTTAATAAAAATAATTCTGTCAAAATACAACAGGAGTTTTTTCATCTCTCAAGTACAATTTAATAGGGTGTTTTGTGTTAGAATTCTCTCTAAACCCTCCCACGCCCACAAGTTTCATGCTAATGCCAAGTATCAACTTGCGAGGACAAAGGCAGAACCAGTGTGCACAATGTGGAGGACATCTGTTTCAGCTGTAGTTACTAATGGAGGAAAACCCTATGCAAAGAGGTGGCACCTGAGGCACCCAGAGTCCATGAACCAGCCACAGGTCCGGTGCACGGGACCAGCGGTCAAGTAGGGCTCTGCTGCCTGGCTGCCACACAGCATGCATACCTGAGTTGTGAGCAACCAAAGGAACTTTCAGCTCTCACAGTTCTCTGCCTCATCTTCTTTGTGCTTGCTTAAGGGGTAGGAAGGCGCTGGGTGGCTGGGCAGTCCCCCCTTCTCAATGTCTTGGTGTCCCTGTTCTGGCGGCCTACCCCCAGCCACAGATTCATGTGGGTGAGGATCAGAGGTTCTGGCTTTCTTTGCATGGTCTGCCAGCGTCCACTCTGGAAGGAGTGACCGTTTGGTGGCACAAGGGGGAAAGGTAAATAGGGAAGGCTGCTCCCCAGGGCTGGACAACCCAACAGAGCCAGGTCTTCTTCCTGTCCCCTCAGGTCAGGTCCAGCCCTTCACTGGGGCTCCTCCCAAGTGCATTCCCCACCGTTGGCTCCTGAAAGCAGGCTGGTAGGACTGGGTGTGCATAAGGGGCTCCTCTGGCTGGCAGGCAGCCCTGGACTATCAGCAAGATAGTGGACTCAAGCAGCTTGGTTTTGGTCCTCTCCACGGCTTGTGGGGCAAAGGCTTATGTCCCAAAGGCAAGCTGTCCAATTGGGACAGAGAGCCCCTCTGGAGAGGAACAGAGTAAACAACTTGGACTCAGCTGAAACAGTGAGATAAGGCACAGAAAATGGGGAGGTGGCCACGGGTACTGAGCGCGAGCCAGGAGGACACCCAACCCCAAGCAGCACACAGCTGTCCCAGGCCCTCTCGGGCCCTCTCTTAGACACTCCACAACTCAAGCCCAGGCACCCATCCCCATCCCTGACACACCCCTGAAGGTACCAGCTGCTCAGACACTGCTGGGGGCCTCACCAGCCTAAGCCCTCACTCGATATTTAGCTTCAGGACTAAACAGTGTTGCACAACCCACAGGGATGAGGTTAGTCCCAGCTCTGCCACTAATTTGCTGTGTGACTTTGGCTAAGTCATTTAATCTCCCGGGCCTGTTTCCTTATCTGAAGAGGAGAGGATTGGTGGAATAGATGTTCTCTGAACCCCATTCCAGCTGCAAAAGCCTCCGGTTTTAATTCCCAATCCTGCTCAGCTCTGGCCATTTTAACAGCTTGATGTATCCAACCTCTGGGTTTGGGAGCTAGACATCCCCAGCCTTGTATAGGATGAGTTTCCTTTACAGACATGACAACACCACCCCAACAGGCCATGGTCTGTGGGGTACCAGCTGGGGCCCTGGTGGGGACCAAGCAAAAGCAGCAGCCTGTAGGATCATGTCCCAAGGGAGAACTCTGGGAGAGCACAGGGCCAAGGCTCTGACCCCATCACCAGCAGCTGGTCCAACTCAATCACTTCTGTCCAGCTGTGGGCCTGGCAGGCAATGAACATCTCAGGCCGTACCACCATCCCTGTGTCCGCTGCCCGAGAGCAGGAGCTTACCCAGCCCTTGCCCAGACAGGGACTGGAAGTTCAATTTCTGGCCTTGCCCCTTTGCAAGGGCTGCCTGTGCGCTCCCTCTCACTGTGAAGCAGGTAGGGAAATCCCAGCCCCTCCTGGTGCTCCTCTGGGTAGGCCTCCTCCTTCTTCTTCCTGGGCAGTCAGTCCTCTCCATGGATGGCCTGCCCAAGTCCTAGCAGTCAACTCAGCCCTTCCTCTCTTGATTCCCTGATGGCAGTACCGGGACTGTTTGCCCCACCAGCTGTGAGGATCCATCTGAAACAGCTGGTGGGACATTTGCAGAGCCCATGAGGTCCCTTCCTCTGGCCAGCAAATACTCATAATAGTCTTTTCTAAGAGTGTCTGGGGCCAAGCTGCAGGGAGCTGCCTGGCACAGCTGCAGTGAAGCCTGGCCTAGTAGGTCAAGAGTTCCATCCACTCCAGGAACTGGCGGGCCCAAGAATCTGCCTCCACAAAGTCCTAGCTTCTCAACAGAAAGCATTGATTCCATCAGAGCTGTGCAGAGACGGTGAAGATCCAGGCAGAAAGAAGGCAGCCCCTGTACTCAAGGGCTTCTGTCCTGGAATGGAGAGACATCCTCCCCGCTGCCTGACACACAGCAGCTCTTGGGTCAAAGGCAGGTAGTTTCCAGGCAATCAATTTAGAGTAAATGAATTATTTGGCCATCTTAACGACAAGGGAAAATAGGATGTTGAAAGGGGGAGAAAGGAAGGGGCAAGGCAGGCAGTGAGAGGCAGGATAGAATGGTAGATAGTGTGCTGGCCAAGGACTCCCTACTCCCCTGCTTTGCTGTATAGCCCTGGGCCAACTCATCCCTTCTCTGAAGCCTCAGCCCCGTAGTTCTCTGCTCAGCCCAGCTCTCAGGGGCCTAGGGACCCACACCTTTCAGATGCCACAAACCAACTTAGCCTGACCTGCCCACTAAGTGGTCCCCAATGCCTACTGGGCTTCCCTAGGCTGCAGCTGGGCCTGTGGCTCGACAAAGGGGAAGCCTGAAATAAACTTATCACTTGGCTGAGGTGACAGAGATGATTCTTTTTTAATGAGTTGGACTCAAATAGAAACATATGGTGTCTGGACAGCCTCACCCAAGAGGTGCTGGACCACTAACACTACGATAAATACTGTGTCTTTTTTTAATATATATATTTATATATATATATAATCTCATTTTTTTTACTTATGAAAATAATAAGCTATCACCAACTTGGATAGGCTTCATCACTAAATTAGCAGAACCCAGCTCAGCACAAGCTCTCCAGAGATAAATACTGGTGGCTCAGTCAGGAGGAAAAAAAAAAAAAAAAGATTAAAAAACCCAACCCCTCCTCAAAACAAAACCCCCCTTTCAAAGTAGAAGGCGCTACATGAGAGTAACCAGCCAATACTGTGTCAGAGGCCGCTGCATGTGAAGGGGAGAGAGAGTCTGAGGGCAGGGTAGGGGGAGGAAGGAAAAGAAGAAGGAAGAAAGGAAGGGAGGGATGGAGGGAGGGAAAGGAAAGGAAGAAAAGGAAAACAGGAAAGGGAGTGGGGGAGGCCAGGCAGGAGGAATGGACTCTGCCCATGGCTTCCAGGTCCCTGCGCCAGATGCCTATGGAGGGCAGGGCTGCTCCAGCCCTGGGGCTGAGGGAGGGCCAGGCGGGGCCAGCCAGCGTGGTCAGCTAGTGCAAGTAGTCGTCGACTCTGGCAAAGGAGCAAGATCCCAGGCCAGCTCGGGCCATGAGCCGTAGACATTCAGATGCCTGACCCAGGGCGAGCATCAGAGGGGGCTGCTTTGGCAGGTTCTGAGACTCTGTGGAGGAGAGACAAGGCCAGGTCATTGCTTTGCCCAGAAGCTGGGCTCAGGTCAAAGTTCCCTTAGGAGCAGAAAGTGGGGGCAGTGGACAGAATCTCTTGGAACACAGTGTTCATGTATCTCTGTGTATGTCCCAGCCACCAGTCTATGGCCCCACAGCCATTCCAGGAATCTGAGGACCTTAGGTCTCTTCAGAGCCATGGGCTGGCCAGGCCCACAGTCATAGGCCAGGGTCTATCATGATCTAGCCAGCCAACTCAGTTGGGCAGAGCGAGGTCAGGATTTAGTTTCAGCCATGGAAGCCCAAGTCCTGTGGGCCACCAGAGTGCCCAGGCAGAGCTCACTGCCCTGCTTTGGACAAACATCAGCAATTCCTAGGGAGAGAGGGGAGGGGCCACCCCAGGCACTCATGGACCAGCTTCTGTTTTTGTTAGATCCACTTACCTAAAATGGCGCTGTTGAGGGCAGCACACACTGGTTCCCTCTGGATGGGGTCAAGCTGCTGGCCAACTGGGCAGCTCCAGGGGTCTGAGTATGCCAGCAGGCTAAAGGCATCCTAAGGGAGAGGGCATTCTTGAGAAGACTGTGGTACATACCACACACATATATACCTCCATGGCTCCAGGGGGCATACAGGGCCCTGCATGGTGCCCAATGAGGGCACTGCAAACCCTGAGCATAGGGTCACAAAGGACTCTGCCCTCCCCAGAGCTTAGAGAGCGTTGCATATATCCTGGGAGTCCTGTTTCCCATTGTGGACTTGACTAGAGTCCACTCTGTCCTGTTGCTGCTGCCCCCAAGGCCCTCCCAGAGTCAATGTGCCCCCACCCCCACACCAAATGGGAGCCTGCTCTGTATGAGCTCCTGGCTTGTTCTATACCTGCAGCATCTCCGTGTGGGCCAAATTCTTGCCGTACTCTCGGCCCAGCTGCTCACTCAGTGCCTGCAACTCTCGACCAAACAGGATAATCCTTTCTGTAGCAGCCTGGTTGCCCCCACAGAGCTGCCGCCGAGGATGCCCATCATCTGTGCCCAGAGCCCAGCAGAGAACAAATCATGAGGGGTAAGGAGAGAAGGGGAGGACTGGGGTGAACACCCCAAAAAGGAGATGGCAAGAAGGACTTTAGGGGCACTGCCAGAGGCAAATTAGGTGGACCATCCATAGCTGAGGTGCTTTTAGTCCACCTAGCACATGATCTAGGAGTCTGGACTCAACTTTCCCTCTTCCCACCCTGTACAGTGCTTGTAAGAATGCCCATTCTCACCAACTCTCTCTAGCCTCAGACGCAAGGGCCCTGGTCTCGGCAGCAGGCCAGGGGTCTTCTCACTTCCAAGCACCCGTTCCTGACTAAGGCGGCAGTGGACCAGGTCCATTTAGAGCTTCTCAGGCTGACAAAGTCTGCCCATGCCAACCCCCTCCCAGGGGGCAGAAGGCATCTGGACTGAGCCATTACCACCCATGTAACACCATGCTGGGCCATGGTCCTTACCCATGCTGGACTCATCTGTCTGTAGATCCTCGTGCTTGTAGGCGCCATTGACGATGCGTGTGGATACACTCTCCAGCACACCATTGGGGTAATGCTCTGCTTCCATCTCCATCTCACTGTCACTGTGGAGAAGGGTTGAGGTGGGATTGATGTGTTTGGGAGCAGCCTGGTTGGGCCTCCATTCAGGCTTTAGCCACAGGTTGCTGTGGGTAAATCAAGAGGTCCTAGGAGCATGAAAGGCCTCCCAGGCTCCAACACTTGGCCCCTACTCTGACATCAGCTATCCCCAGGGGCCTATCGCCTGATTCTCACTCTTGTCCCAATGCTGCCTCTGTGGCCCTCCCCTTCCTGGCCTTTGTCTGAGTTGGCATACCTCTTCCACCCATTCCTCCCCCACCCCCAGTGACCAGGGACCCCTGAGAAGTATCTCTAGGCACCAAACTCAGGTCAAACCCTGAGGTATGCCTGGGGGCAGCTGAAAGCCACCTGTAGTCTACAGCCTAAAACCTCTGCTGCCCAATCTGTCTGACCTCAAGCCACACCCAGTAAGTTTCTTCGGTGTAGACCCTAGGGGTTCTGCCAGGCCTGGTGGTATCAGTGCTTCTTGAGAAAATCAGGGCTGAGCAAAGTGGCAGCTGGATCACCGGTAGGGCCAGAAGCTGGAGCCAATACCTGGCCTGGCAGGTCAGCAGCAACTACTCCAGGTACAGACCTGGGGTGGAGGTGGGGGGTTAAGGGCAGGGGGTGGCACTCAAAGGACAGGCTGCAGTGAGCCCAGCTGGCGCAGAGTGGAGAGGAGGAGGAAGAAGCAGAGCAGGACAGGCACCTGGTCTCCTGGTTACTGGTGCTGCTGTGGGGCTGGGACTTGGTGGAATCTGTTGAGTTGGACTCGGAGTAATTGACGGAGGATGGGGATGAGGAGGACGAGGAGGACGAGGAGGAGGAGGAGGAGCTGGGTGCAGGGTATTTACTGTGGTTCTGTTTGCTCTTCGTGGATGCGACGCCGTTGCTGCAGCTGGGACTATCTGCTCCTGGAAACCAGGGAATAGTCAGAAGAAGAGGGGCAGTGTGCCACAATGGGGCCCCAGGAATGACCACAGTGGTCCCATTTCCCTTCCCCCAAATCCAGCAGCGAGCCCTGAGCCCAGCCCAGGGAAGAGCATGTGGGTGGCCTTTCTTCTCCACACCAGTTCTCCCCCGAGCCCTCTGGAGAGTGGCTGACCTGTGTTGTGCATGTGGGAACTAGGGCCGTGTCGGGGGCTGAGGCTGGGGGAGCCAGGGTAGCTGTCCTGGGACTTGGGGCTTCGGGAGCTCAAGCTGCGGACCTCACTGTCGGTCCCATTCACCATCTCCACAAATTGTCGGCACCTGCAGAGGGAGCAGAGCGGCAATGCTCTGGGCTTGGTCTGGGCTGTATGTTCCCACCACCAGCTGAGAGGGGCTGGGCTAGGGGGGAGCTGGTGGTGCCCAAAACTTACTTGAGCATGAAGAGCAGGTTAGGGTTATGCTCCAGCAGTCCTGGATAGAAGCGCTGTGTGGTCTCAATGGCCTCACCCACACGGCCCTCCAGCACCAGCTTCTGGATCTCTGCAGAGAGCAAGAGTATGGCAGTGAGTGAGGGGCTGTGGACCTTCTTCACCGCCACATGCCTGCACACTACCAGCTCCGAAGATGGACTAGCCGATGGTCAGGTGGGCTGGCTCAGAGTGGCATGTCTGGTTGAGATGCTCACAGAAGAAGAGGCTGAAGAAAGAACCTGGCCTCTCAGACCCACAAGAGACCCTGGTTTATGCCAAGTGTCAGGGAGTCCTCAAAGAACAACAGGGGAAAACAGAGGCAGGACTCGGTGCAGAAGCAGGAGAGCAAATGTAGAGGCCTGCTCCTATGGAGGTCAGTCACTGGGGACCTGGGCATGGGGAGGGGTCTTGGCTATGGGAGCATGATCTGGGGCTGGGCCCCCAGGCAGCTTGGTGGCCCTAGGGGCTCCTCTTGAGGCAGACGTCTCTCCTTTCAGGCCTCACAGTGGGGTGGCAATGGGTACACAGTGGTTTCTGGGCCAGGGCCCGAGTCTTGGCAGTCTTCAGGGGCTGTGGCGTGCCCCCTGCTGGGAGAGGAGGTCATCCTCCTCACACGGGCATCTCTGACGTGACACCTCTCAGACCATCTGCATCTTGCTCTTGCTCTGGGGCCTGGTGCATCTTGCTGGGAGCGACTTCTGGGTCTGAGGTTCTCATTCGTAGATCCCAAGTCTGGGATCCCTTTCCGTCTGTCTGGCTGGGCGTAGCTTCTCTGGGAGACACAGACACATGCACATACACAGAGACGACAGGCTCAGAGAGACGCCAACAAGCACACACAGACACACACATCCACACACACCCATTCTCCTTCACTCTCCTCTCCTCTTCCTATCTCCTTCCTGGGCTCTGTTTCCTCTTTCCCAACACCCTCCTTCCACAAAGAGCCCCAAACACACAGTATACAGGCCAGTATGTACACTAGCAAAGTTTCCTCTGGTTCCTTCCTTTGGTTGTCTGCAAAACGCAGGACCAGAGGTGGGCACAGAGAGAGGGGCTACCACAGCAGCCACTGAGAACCAGCCTTCACCCTGTCTGACTACTTCAGTCCTTTCTCTGGCCGGGAACAGGCAGAACTACTAAAGCTGAGTAAATGGGAAAGGCAGGACATTGGTCTGATAAGATGCAAACACACTCTTCCAGAAGACTCTGAACAGAAGGCTGAGTAGAATCCAGGATTCGGGGGAAGCAAACAAGCATGGAGGAGGGGGACCCAGCCATGCCAGGCCCCCGCCTGTGCGGGGCCGTCAGAGTGTGCCGTAGGGAGGCTGCACTGAGGCACTCATTCCCATGCTGCCGGCCTGTCCATCTGGGCAGTGTTGGCTTGAAGGAGGGACAGAAGCAGAGCCTTGGGCGGGGCTGGGGCTGTGGGCTGGTCTCCTGGTGGTAAGGACCAGAGCTGAATGGACTCCTGACAGGTGACCCAAGACTGCCATGGGCCAGAGAGCAGAGTTAGGGACAGGTGAGGGAAGGAGGGAGAGGGGAGAGGAGAATCAACCTTACTTTGTCTGTTCTTTATGGATGCTTGTTCTTCCTGAATCGGGGTTTCAGTCATTCGGGCAAAAGCCGTGGCTGTGGCACAATAACCATGATGCACCAGGTAAGATGAGACCATGCTAGAAGAAAGGAAATGCTCAAGGTGACACTCTAGAACTGCATTTCTCATTGATCACCTGATGGGACAAACGATCTCCCTGTCTGGGCTTCCTTAAACACATCTTGGAGGTGCAGCCTCCACAGAATGAGAATAAAGAGGCTGCAACAAAATGAAAACTCCCCCCAGTGCTCATGCAGTCAGGCTGCGGAGGGGCTAGTCACCACAGCTGTCCTCACAGCTTGGAAGAGGGGCTGCAGTTTCTCTGGAATATGCCGTCCACAAGCGGGCAAGTATGATAACAAAAATACGCACACAGGCACATAGCATCCCTTACAGCAGCGGCTGCCCCCTGTGAACTGAAGCAAGCCCAGCGATGACCGACAGTCTCTCGGAGGGCTTCCTGGAATGGCAGCCAGCCAAGCCATCTAGGAGCTGCCCAGACAGAGGCGATGTGTGCCGTGTGCGTACCTTCTAGAGACACAGCAGCTCCTCTGTACACGGCCCCACATGCCCGGCATAAGCATTCCAGTTCCATTCCAGCAGGTGAAACTGGCCCTGAGGAGTGCTGGCTCTGGAGGGTGATGGGGAGCTAACCTGTGACCCAAGTCACTCCACAATATGCCACGAGTCAGGGGCCCAAGAAGCCAAGATATAGGCAACCACGTGGCCAAGAGGAACACAATCTCTGGGAAATGACCTGGAGAAGCGCGACACCCAGGCGCCATTTAATCACACCGGCAGCTGGCTGAGCAGGGGCATGTGTGTATGTGTGCATGCACACACATGGAGGGCAGAAGGGTGAGCCCTCACATCTGATGTGCACAGAAGTGAGTACCTTGGTATAAACATGTGTCCGACGTCATTATTGTAATTGCCAAACACCAGTGTGAAAGGCACAGTGTCCCCTCGTGTTTTAAGGGCTAAGTGAGATGATACATACAAAGTGCCTAGCACAGTCAATAAACCTCTGATGATGAAATTATGTATTTATATTATACTCTGGATAATTATATTATTATAAACACAAGGGCAAACATTTTTGACAAAACATGGTTCAGATGAGTCCAAATGCGTATCAGATGCCACTAGTATATATGGCCCATTGACTCGGTAATTCCACTTCCTGAAAGGACACCAAGAAAATAATCTTAAAAATGAAAGCTCTTTACTTACAAAAGGGTTGCCTATATAAGCAAAAGAGAAGAAATAACCTGAACCTCCCACCAAGGTGGGTAGGTCTTGGGCAAATACTACATATGAACACACACCGGCACACATATACACACATATAAACACGCTGTAAACTGAGAGCATCGTTCCCTCCCCAAAACGGCTGGGGCAGCTCCACCTCTCCCCTTGCCTGTCCCAGCAAGCCTGCTTCAGGGACTGGCATTATACTGGCTAGCCCTCCAAGGAAGAGCTTCTCAGTAGCTCTGAGGGCTAAAAACAAAACAGTGCTGCTCTTTCTGAGAAGGGTCTGGCCACCTAACCCCCGCCTCAGCCCTCCCTTATGGCCTGCCTCCGTATCAGTCCTTTAAGAAAGGAAGACTGCACGAAGAACCCAGTGTGCAACCCAACCCCCCCACCCCGGGGGACCCTGCTACCTGGGTGCCTTTGCAGGGCAATAATCAAGGCTAGTGGAAGCCCAGCCCTTCTCTGCCCACCCGTGGGAGTCAAGCTAACAAGCTAACCCACCTCTCGGCAGAGTGGGTACTGGTTCTTGCCTCACTCAGGCCAGCAGCTGGCAAGTAGAAGAGAGACCCAAACCTCGCCTCCCTTCAGATTCTCAGCAAGACTGGCTTCCAGGACAGTCTGAAAACTAATCATCCAAGAGCCAGATAGGCTGGCCTCAGGAGGATTCTCTTCCAGGCACCACTGCCATGAATGCATGGGACTTAGATGGATGATGACCCTGAGAGATGACCCCAGGCCAGAGTCACAGCATGATGCATATTCCCTATGGGGCAAAAAAAGTCCACAGATGAAGAGACCACAGGGCATCCTAGTACATCCTCTGCAAAATGACCTGGGGAAGGAAAACAGCTCTGCTGGTGATATTACATGCAGAGCCTTCCAATCCAGGTGAAGGGGCAAAGGCTTAATTAGGAACAGATCTGGAGAACTGAGCAGAAGCCGTCCATCTGATAAGAGGGAAGCAGGAGAGCAGCAGGCCAAGTCACCCTGGGAGGGCTTTCCAGAAGGAACGGCTACCCACTGGAGTTCATTAAGGCAGCCTGAGGCAGTGCAGGGGCCTACAGGAGAGTGAGGCCCCTGGGATGGGCCAGGGCTGGGTAAGGGTGGGAGTGGGGCACTCACTTCTGCAGCACTGCCTGCCATTCGCCAAGCCGAGCACTGATGGGGAAGCAGTGCACAGTGCCTTGGACCTTGGCACGCCACTCCCGCATGTAGTCCTCAATGTCAAACAGGAAGGGCTGCTGCCCAAAGTTGGCGTCCACAATCTCCCCAGGTGTCTGCAGGCCTACGGTGGGGTAGAGGTTGGCCTGAGGAGGAGAATGAAATGTCAGTTGGGCCCTGAGAGCAATGGGGCAGCAGGGCCTCGCCTTACCTCTGGTGCAGGGAGGGAAGGCGCTGGCTCCTGCAGGCCACTACTCTGGCTTTTGAAAGAATTGCAAGGCTGAAGGAGGCAGGGCTAAGCCACATTCTGCCCACCTCCCTAACAGAGACACCATTCCCCAAAGCTTAAGGACAGAAAGCAAAAGAAAAGCAAGCCAGGCTCAAAGTGGGGTCTTTCCCTGCCTCAGAGGCTATGGTGTCCCCAAAACCCAAGGTCCCCTTTTGGGGCTCAGCCAGGGCACAGAGAGGTAGACTAGGCTCCACAATCCTACAGAGATGCCCATGAAGTTCTGCTACATGGGTGGATAATGGCTCCTTTCAGAATGATCTAGGACCAAGGATCCCTTTGACACCAAAACAGGGGTATACCACAAGGCAGGAAGGGATGGGGGTGACAGGAAAGGAAGGCAGGGAGGAGGAGAGCAGGGCAAAAGGGGGTAGGTGGATTTGGACCCCCAGATGCTGGCAAAGGGTAAAGAGGGGCCACTGCCCTTCCTGTCAAAGGCACACTAAGGGGAGGATCTTCTGGCTAGTGGGGTTTGGGAACGTCCCTCCATGGGTGGTGAAGCTCCCCACTTTCCATCTATTCCCTGTCATGGCCAACTTTTGCCTGATCACTCCCTCACTCATTGCTTCCTGTGGCTCCCCACTGCTACTGAACAGTATCTTGCCATCCTCCTCCCCATTGTCACTGGGCCCCCAGTCCTCCCTTCCACCTTCCATCCTCAGGCCATGTGTCACTCCTGAATAACATGTGCCTTTACTGCACGCTGGGTTCAGCCTGCCACAAGCTCTGAATCCTAAAACCTCTTGCTTCCTTCCTTTACCCTCCCAACCTCCATGCCATAGGCAAAGCCCACCCCCTCCAGCAGGCTTTCCCTGTCACTGGTCTCAGTGACACTCCCCACCTTGGAGCAGCCATACACTTCCTAGCACTTGGCGACTGCCTACATTCATGTCTGCTTATCTCATGTCAGGTCTCCACAACCAGACCATTCTCTAGCCAGGGTCAGAATTCTCCTGTCTTTCTCTTTGCCTAGGACCACAGCCCCTCTTCTGGGACTTCCAGGTAGGACAGAGGGATTCTGATCTAAAGATAAGAGTTTCTAACAGGATCCTGGGTCCTGTAGTCTGGGCTTCAGAAGGCCACTCAGATCACAAGAGCACTTCCTAGGGCATCACAGGGGTGCTCAGGATCCCAAGGCAACCATCAGAGTGAGCAAACCTTTCCTCCTTCCAGAACCCAGCCAGGGCACACAGAGCCAGGCCAGGCTCCCAAGAGTCTGGGTGGAGGCCTTGCACATGTGACGAGATCTGTGATGACTCATAATAACGAAGGACTGGGGTGCAGAAGATGGGGATGAGCCGTGAACTAAGCCAACAGGAAACCTCACCCTTTTCTAAGAAGAGAAAACCCCACAAAGCGTACCTCTTTGGCTTGGGCATACCCTGTGTGGTAGCAGGCTTAGTCCCCTAGGGTAGTGGTCTTCCTTAGGTATCTCTGATGAGTAGTCACTGGGACAGGGCTCCCAAACAGTTCCGAACGATTCCCTATACACCCCAGTCCACTAGCTGTAAGCCACACAGAGCTGGCCCAGACCAGCTGAGCCACGGAGCTACCCTCCTCTCCCCCCGCTACCACCCCCCCAGCTGCCTTTGGAAAGGCCACAAATCACTGTCACCTGCTAAGAGTCATGGAGGAAGACCAGGCCCCTTGCTGCTGGAGAGAGAGGAAGACCAGGAGGGTCCCCTACTGGTATTCTCAAGCTGACAGCACAGCTTACATCCCTGTTTGGGGAAAGGGCCAGACTCCACACCCTGCACTTGCAGGTTCCCCTGTGCTCCATCCCAGTCAGCCCCCAAGAGCCCAGAGGGAGGGGACCCAGTAACAGTACTTACCGGGAGGTCTGTGAAGGCTATACCTGCAGAGGGAAAGAACAGAAATCAGGCCACTTGGTCTCCCACACCTCTTTGGGACCACGGAGGGTCCATCAGAATGGCTGGGGAGTGGCTGGTCACCACATCTCTCCTATGGTAGAGGCCAAGCATATGCTAGGGCCTGGTAGGTTTAGACCCTGGCCTTCCCTTTGCTGCGTGGCCTGGCTGGAAGTAAAGTCAAATACTCTCTCAGGGAAAGCCTGCTAGGAAGGCCTAAACCCAAATAATCTACCCTAAGGCCTCCTCAGGCCTGATCCTTCTTTTGATCCAACATGTATTTACGGAGACTTACTGTATATGCCAAGCCCTTTTCCATCCATCACCTCATCTGATCTGTATACCAGCTCTGGCGAGCAGGCTTTCTTATCCCCATTTTATAAATGAGGAAAGTAAGCCTCAGAGGTGAAATGATTTGCCAACAGTCATAAAACTAGCAGAAGTGGGAGGCCTGGACTCTTTCCTAGTCTGATGCTCCGACATCATCTCCAAGCTGACAGAGAAGTGGAGACAGGGAGGGTTGCAGTGCAGGTCCAGCCCATACCCATCCAGAGTCTCCAGAGGTTTCAAGGTGACAAATCCTAGGTTAACACTGGCCTGTGTACCCTCTGACCCTTCTGCCAAGAGAAAGGGCTGCTTCCAGGTTCCTCAACCTTGAGTTGGAAGTGAGAGTGGAGGAAAGTGGGGCCCCAAATATGTGAGCAGAACAGGCATCTCAGAATATCCACCAGAGCACTCATGTTCTGTAGATTGAGAAACGGCTCACGGAGAAAGGAGACCCTTCCAAGGACCCACAGCCCTCCCATATTTAGAAAATTTCTTATATCTTCTAGAAGCTCCTGAGCTTTTGGACTGAGAAGTTTCCGAGCCACTCCTTGGAGGTCCCAGTCTGCTCCCCTAACTCCTACCCAGAAAAGAAACTGAAACCCAGCAAGAGAGAAGAGCAGGTGAGGGTTTGACAGTAGGTCTCCCAGTGAACCTGGGGCCAGAATCCTGTCAGGCAGCCGGCACATACCATGTGCCTGCTCTGTGCTGGGCCCTGGGCCCAAGGAACCATTTAATCCTCAGAACAACCTTGGAAGGTGGAGACCGTCCTGACCACTAGTTTACAGATTAAAAACCAAGGGGCAAAAAAATAAAAAAAAATAAAAACCAAGGGGCAGAGAAACTATTTACATTCTTTGCCCGGCTGTTTTGCTCCCTAGTGAGGGAAGTGCATAAATCCCACGATCTGCATGCCTGAAGCCACTTCTCAGCCCCACATGCAGAGCGGCAGTCCCAGAGCTGGCAGAATGGAAGCTGGAAGCCCCTCTGCATCCATGGGAACACTTCAACGTCCACCCCCCAGGTCTGCACAGGAGCGGCCTTTGTGGATCTCAGTGTGGCCAGGTTGCTGTTGCTGCTATACTCCCAGCTCATGGAGAAGACCCATGGGCCCTGGAAGAAGGAGGTCCAGGCTCCGTCAGTTATCTGCAGTGTCACCTTGGCAACGGACCCAATCTTTCCAAGCCCATCTGAAATAAGGGGTAACACTAATCCTGACACTTCAAGAAAGAAAGGAGAAACTGAGAAACTCTATAAAGACTAATTCAAAAACTGTGAGGTCTTGGTACAAGCTGGCTGCAATTGTGCCACAGGGTGAGGCAATTGCCACACTTCTGGGCAGGGGAAGACCTACCCTGGCTTGCCCAGCTCTATCTCACAATGGCACTCAGGAAGGACAAGGCCTTGAGGTGTTTCCAGGAAGATGAGGAAATAGGCTACTCCACCCCCTATTGCACCGGATGGACAAGGGCAACACTGCTCCCCCAACCCTGCAGGTCTCTGGGAGCCTCTGCAAGGCCAATGTAGTGGTGAGATGTGGGAAAAGGTCAGGCAAAGATCCAGGATGCAAACAGAACATTCAAACTTGCTGATAAGAAGTGCTCTGAGCCAGAGACATAAGTCAGGGGTCAATAAGGCTGAGGGCACAAAATGACTCTGCAGGGGCGCCTGGGTGGCTCAGTCGTTAAGCATCTGCCTTCGGCTCAGGTCATGATCCCAGGGTCCTGGGATCGAGCCCCGCATCGGG